GTGTAAAAATAAATTTAAAAAGTAAAAGATACTTGTTTTGTTACACGCTGCCGTGTTTCACCTACCATTACTGGGCACACCCCGAGCTGTGAGCTTCAAGTAACCCCGGCCCCCGGAGCAATTTAGCCCTGGACTAGATCATAATAAGAGTTAGATATAAAAATAATAATTCAGTTGTAGTTTTTTATTAAATTTGCTATAAACTATATACAGCATTTTCTTGATTACAATAATGCTTCTTTCTTTTGTCCTGAAGTGTAAAAATAATAAATGTTGAAATTTGCTTTATAATTTTAGTTTTATAATGTCAGCCCCACTGGCCAGAAAGGCCCCCCCTCAACAGACTCAAAAAGGCCCACGGACCACCAGTTGGTAATTGCAGTTGAAGCACGTTTTGTGACTCTGGACACATTTTATCAGTGAGTCGAGGAGAAGAAATGGCTCCGTGGATTGTAAAGGTTGCAGACGCCTGAACTAGATGTAATCCTAATTCCTCAGGTAAAATAAACCCAGTTCACCTGGTTACCAGACTAAACGACCCTCAGATTAGCAGGTGAAATAAAGCAGGTGAATCAGTTCTGTGTTCGTACCAAGGCTCGTCTCCACAGAACCGCTCTGCCGTCCAGCCGCTGGCGTCTCTCACTGGGACCATCCTGCTTTTTGTTAGGAAGAAGTGGACAGTTTCGGCCACGCCCACCAGGTCCACCTGACAGGAAGTGACAGAGGCTGGGATTAGAGCAATCTAAAGTGAAGGAGACTGGGTTTTTGATAAAGGAAAAGGTGTTTACCAGGTGTGGGGGGTCGGTCGGCTGGAGGAGACCCAGTCTGATGTAGGTCTGAGCTGAAGGGAGCTGCTGGACTGAGGTGACGTCTGGCTGGAGGTCCAGGTCTATCGAGGATGACCAGTCCACTGGGATAATCCAGTCAGAGTCCTGGAAAAATCTGCAGAACCCAAAGCTCAGGTCTCAGAACCAACTTCCTATCTGCCCCCCCACCCCACCCCCCGCCCTCGTGGTGACCTACATGTAGGAGCAGGTCAGGATGCTGGGCTGCAGCGCCGCATGCACCAGCCTGCAGGAGTGAAGCTCCAAAACCAGCTGCAGCAGAGCCACCACTTTACAACTAGCTGACTCCTAGAGTCACAGAGTCAGAGTCAGATAAACTGATTCACATTTAAAGATTCAGATTTAAAGATTCAGATTTAAAGAACTAGGTTAAACGAGTCAGAATTAAAGAGTCAGATTTAAAAAGTCAAATCAACAGATTCAGATTTAAAGTGTCAGATTTAAAGAATAAGATAAATTGATTCAGATTAAAAGAGTCAGATCGTGAGAAACAGATTCAAGTTTAATATGTCAGATGTAAAGAATTAGATAAACTTATTGAAATTTAAAGAGTCAAATGTAAAGAGTCAGATAGACAGATTCAGATTTAAAGACTCGGATTAAAAAAATTAGATAACAGATTCATATTTAAAGAATTAGATTTAAAGATTTAGATTAAATGAGTCAGAGTTGGATTGGCAGACTGGGGTGGTGGTCCCCCTGTTTAAAAAG